GAAAACAGTGCAACAATGAATGAATGAAAACCCAAAATCTCTGTAAATGTTCATTAAAGCTAATAAAATTTAATAATTAAAAAAAAAAGTTTGTCCAAGTGGGCCAAAAAACAAATAGCATTTTTACATCTCCATTACTTTCAAATATTTCCATCATAGCTTCTGGCCATAAAATATAAATTAGTAATTTCAACCTAAAAATCAGTTCATATATTTAGTGCAGAAATTTGTATACTTACTTTTTGTGTTCTTTCCTTGAGCACAAACTTATCTGGAAAAATCCTCATCACTTTAGGATCCAGCAAAACTTTTTTCTGAGAATCCTTAAAACATACTGCTTTAACAAAAGCTGCGCGACAGCCAGTGTTCCGAACAGAAAACAGAACTCGACTTTCCTCACCAGGATTTAAGTCGTTCATTGTAATCATGTAACAATCAGGCAATTTTTTAACATCTTCCAAAATCAGATTACTTGTTCCACCATATCCAGATAAGGGTATCTAAAACCAAAGAATATATATACCCAAAATTATTTTCATAAAAGAACATGAGGACTGAAATATACATAGAGAAGAAAATATATAGTTTTAATACACTTTAAAAATTCACTGTTTGGGTTATTGTATTAGTATTTATGCAGATTCCAGAATAGAATCATATTAAAGACTGTTCTAAAAGAAAGAAAAATCAAAGATCTGTGTATTATTTACCTTCCAATATGCTAAAAATTATTTCAAAAATTAAAACAGTAATAGCAAAGTTTAAATGATAAAAGTCAAATTAATTGCCATCAAGTCAGAACTAACTCATAGCTGCCCCTCAAGTGGGCTTTCAGAGGTTATACAAATCAGAGTGGAAAAGTGCCCATCTTTTCCCCAAGGAGCTGTTGGGAGACAGCAATCAGCAGAGAAACTTGGGTTAGCAGTTAAACTACTTACAAACTATTTGCAATAAAAAGATTAAAGCTAGCTGTAAAAGTATTTCGTTGAAACACAGACATTTGTAAAACACTTTGAAATGTATATTAAAAAAAAAAAAAAAAAACACCGCTTCCGGCGGCGTATGTGAGGTGGCCCGGCGGAGGCGGTTGTTGGGCCTCCTGCTCCATCGCCCGCACGCTCGCTCCCTGCGGTCTGAGGAAGGCGGCCCGAGAGGCGGAGGTCGCGGCGGCTGGTGGGCGGAAGGGCGGAGGCGGGACAATGGAGGTGGCGGTGGAGAAGGCAGCGGCGGCCTCCGGGGGCCCGGCGGCGGCGCCGAGCGGCGAGAACGAGGCCGAGAGCCGGCAGCTGCGGCCCTGACTCGGAGCGTGGCTGCGAGGCGGCCCGGCTCAACCTGTTGGACACTTGCGCCGTGTGCCACCAGAACATCCAGAGCCGCGCGCCCAAGCTGCTGCCCTGCCTGCACTCCTTCTGCCAGCGCTGCCTGCCTGCGCCGCAGCGCTTCCTCATGCTGCCCAGGCCCGCGCCCGCGCCCGGAGCGTCACCCTTCGCCACGCAAGTTGGAGTCATCCGTTGTCCAGTTTGCAGCCAAGAATGTGCAGAGAGACATATAATAGATAATTTTTTTGTGAAGGACACTACCGAGGTTCCAAGCAGTACCGTAGAAAAGTCTAATCAGGTCTGTACGAGCTGTGAAGACAATGCCGAAGCAAATGGCTTTTGTGTGGAGTGCGTGGAGTGGCTCTGCAAGACCTGCATCAGAGCTCACCAGAGGGTCAAGTTCACGAAAGACCATACTGTCAGACAGAAAGAGGAGGTGTCTCCAGAGGCTGTTGGTGTGACCAGTCAACGACCAGTGTTTTGTCCTTTTCATAAAAAGGAACAGCTGAAGCTTTACTGTGAGACTTGTGACAAACTGACCTGTCGGGATTGCCAGTTACTAGAACATAAAGAGCATAGATACCAATTTATAGAAGAGGCTTTTCAGAGCCAGAAAGTAATCATAGATACCTTAATCACCAAACTAATGGAAAAAACAAAATACATTAAATTCACAGGAAATCAGATCCAAAACAGAATTATTGAAGTCAATCAGAATCAAAAGCAGGTGGAATCTTCTGAGACATGTGATGTCTTCAAAGGAACCACTGATGCATGTACATGGCAGGGAGGCCTCACGAATGAGGCCACAAGTGACGGGCTTCCGAACCTTCGTTTTCTTTTTCAGCCCCGGCCCCTCCCAAAACCGAAGCCAAAGCAAAGGCATTGAAGGCCAAGAAGGCAGTCCTGAAGGGCGTCCACAGCCAAAAAAAAAAGAAGATCCGCACGTCACCCACGTTCCGGCGGCCTAAGACGCTGAGACTCCGACGGCAGCCCAA